ACACTAAAGGTTCCAACCTCGTACATTCAGGCTGAGAGCGTCTAGCGTTGCGTCGCGTTTGCGTCGCGTCCGCCCCTTTGAACTCGAGCCCCGACGCTCAGCAGACGCTAGCGCAACGCCAAACGCGACGCTGTCTGCCTGAACGATCTAATTTAAGTTAAGTGAATTGATTCCATTTCAACACGCGGACGCGACCTAAACGCGACGCGATGCTCGACGCTCTCAGCCTGAATGCACCTTTAATTTATTTCTAAATTTGAAACTCTCATTGAAAAAAATATGTTGTAAAACTTTAAGTATTTAGGGAAAATTTGTTACTTACTTTATAAAAGCTGAAAAAATGATTTATAAACATTTAATTATTATCTGACAAATACATTTTCAAATCCGAAAATACTCACAACAAAAAAATAACATAGCGTAAAATAAATTAAAATATATGATACAAAACGTTCTATATTTTTAAAATAAATGTATATACACGTTGCTATAATATTCTCTGTTTGATAGAATTGTGGTATTGACAGGAACTGCATCAAATTGATTAATACAAATTATTCAGATTTTTCCGCAGAGCGACTATTTTTGTCCAGACAGCAGATGTACATTTACCCATGAAAATTGCCGCACCTAACTACAGTTTCCAACATTAGTATTTATCAAAACTATTTATTTTGTTCTGTTTCATTATTGCTTCCGTTCGGCTAGCTACAGAATAAATTACTTGCTGAGAACTTAAACGATTCTGCATACAAATTTAATTTATTTTTGTAGCATCGCAAAAAATTAATAGCTAATATGTGATTTTCGTTGTAATTAATTTTCGAATTTGATATTTAATTTGCTTTCGAATTTGCACAGCAATATAGCAGATCGTGATTATATTAAAATATTTATTTAATGTACTTCAATAAAAATTCTTTTAATATTATTTGAAATATTCAATTTATGTAAAATTCAGTTATTTTGAGTTTTTATATATTTATTAGATTAGAGACAGTGAGAGATTATACAGGGAGCCGTAAATAAGTGAAAATATAGAAGATGTGTTTCTTTTGTCGATATAATGCCGGGGTTGCCATATTTCAACCATAAAGCTCTTGCCGCTAGTAATAAACAAATTAACAACCTGTATATATGAGTAAACATATACATATATTATGCGAGGATAAAATATAATTTGTAATATTAATGGTATACTTTTTTTTAATCGACTAATGATTAAATGTTTTATGAACATCTTTTAAAATTATAATTATGTACCTTTAAAAAATTTTGTTATAGCCGAAATAGCCCTAATTATGCCCCACTAGCAAAACCGGTGATTAAAACTATGATCGCTACCGTTGTTTAACTCATCTAGAAAGTTTTTTTAACTGGAATAATAAATTATAATACAAGTTGGACCTTCTGAAGATATCAAAATATTAACTTCTTTATTTTTCTTTATAGAATGTTGACATAAATTATACTTCCTAACACTTTTAGAATAATTAAATAATAAATTTTCGTATACTCGCTATTTAAACCCGTGTATTTGTGTATATTAGTTGTTTACGATATTCTCCGATGGTGGCAACACCGGCGGAAAATGCACCAAGCCTATACCAACAATAAAGAAATACCATAGTATGTAAATTGATCATTACATCACTTTTATAAGGCTTTTTGAATTCGACTGCTCCAAGAATTTCATGTCTTAATCTAGTTATTTCCATTAGTTACGGTAGAGGAGGTAAACTTGAAGAAACTGGGTCAATTTTATCCGTAGCCTGAAAGATTTTTACCGGAAACATTAATCTTTTTAAACGAAATAGATTTAAATCACCAGAAGTGTTCGGAGGTGGATCGTAACTTACGGATGGAAACAAATCCAAATAAACCGCCCTAATAGCGGATAGATTTCAGCTAATGCGGTTTCGACGGTTCAACCTTTTACTAACAAGATTTCATTTTATTTATAGTTTAATCGAAAAGAAAGGGCACTAAAATGTCAGACCCTACTTGTCTAATAAGTTTCCTTTATCAAATATAACCGATGGTAAATAATATTTTTATAATTGTAAATACTATTTAAAACTGCGCACTGAGATAGCCCGCAGATTTAAAAATAAACATGTTTCTATAAATTCAATATATTCAGTTTTAAGACGCTCTGTATACATAAATCATTATTGATTTTTAAAATATTCATTCGCAAACTAGAGAGAGGGAAATGAGACAACGGACAGAGATGATAGGTGTTAGGTAATAGCTTTTAGACTACCGTTCGAGGCGCATTGTTGGTAGTTTGATTTGTAGGGTTGGGTTGCTCATTATTTAACTAGAGTTAACTAAAGCATATAGTGTATATTCCTGTAGCAATATTCTGTGCTAAAGTTTTCTCTTATTTTTTGCATCTGAGAATTATTTATTATTAATAATTATTATACAAGTGTATGTATTTTTTGGTTTCGATTTACGATGCGAAAAATTTCAGTTTAAAAGTAATCTAACTGAAACCAGCTACTGTCTATTCGTGCCGATGTCTTTAGTTCAGTATGATTTAGTGTGACTAAATGACTACTGTAGCGAGTATTGACTTGATGACTGTATTAATACTATCCAACCGTGACTGGGCGAATATCTATGTTGCGTATTGGTATTGACTGCTCACTAAGTGAGCATTCAAAACGAAAAAAGAAAATAATTCATAGTCTAAAGATATTGGCACCTTAGCTGCGAGCCTCGCATCCAGAGACCTCAGTACTTGCGGGTAACAAACAAAAACCTCTTCAGTTTTGAATGTATTAAATGTAGCATGTTTTGAATGTATTAGACTACATACCTTGATATGAGGACAGTATGTAAATCATTTATTATTATTTTGTTAAAGGTCAGAACACCATAGTTGAATTCTTTGGAATAGGTTATCAAGGTTTTCTCTGCCGTGCTCTTTTCCTTTGTGAATTCTAGGCAGAGGTCGGCACACTTAATTTCATTTAATAAAATAAGTACTGCTATTTACAAATTTAGTGTTTGATTTACGTAACCTATTCTTCTCAAATTTCCTTAATATTGCCTACACAATGTAGGTGCTTTTATTTCATTTAAGCTGTTATACAGTTGACCAAAATCTTACCTCTTCAACTTTGTTTGACAATTCTGTCGTCCCACTGTCTATGTATACTGGGTATGTTATACTAGAGTACATTAAGAGAATTATTAATTACCAAAGAAAATATATATACACGATGTTATTGATACATTACTACTAATTGAACTAATATAGCTCAGCTAATATGGAACATATATCTTTGCAATTAGTTAATATTAATTGACAATGTTGTACAGATCAATATCTGGTTACTATCTGGTCTCTTCCTAATCTTATCTATATAGAGGATGCTCCGAATTGTAACCGGGAAAGTTCGGGGACATATTCTGTAAATAAAAATAAGTAAAAAGTTTGTATAGATTTTTGTCCTAAATTGTTTCGAAAATAATTAATAATATATTAATAAAAATCGAAATAATTAATATAAATCATCATTGCCCAAAATTGGTTGTTGATTAGATAGTTATTCTAATGGAATAATAAATTTGAAATGTTTTTATGCTAAAGGTTTAACAGAAACGTCTTGATCAGAATTTGGTATAGAAAAAAAAGTTCATAGATTAACTACCAATCTAGTCAACATGTTGATTTTTTGTGTTTGACATGTATTTATCATTAATATTCCAAGTATCTTGAGAATGACTAGTCATAACGATTTATCCCAAGAGGCTTTTTTTACGTAAAAAACGGTAGAAATGTATATTTTGTAACTAAGTAGGTTTTAAAAAAGTACTGGCGAAATGTTATTACTCTTCAGACCAGTTCGAAAACGTGTAGGTGGTACCCCCTACAAACAGGAATCACATTGAGAGCAAAATCAAATTTCCCATGTCAAAAAATACCCAGACACCAATATATCGGCATTAGTTCAGACGTTATTTTGAAAAAATCAAAATAAAAATGAAATTTCTACACCCTGTGTCTCTTAAACGAGGAAAGGACATAAGTGTATACGAACTTTCTATTTAATTTTATTTGCAGAATATGCTGTCGAAGTTTACCGAACACAATTCGGACCACCCTGTATAAATACAGCTTAACATACTTTTCTTACAAAAAGGAAAAAGAAAAGCCGTATATAATAAATTAAAATTCGTTTTACCCAGAAATGTCGGACCATTGAAATTTACAGGTATGGATAGTAAGCATGCAACTTTGCGTTAGTGTTACGGCAAGAGCCATCACCCAGCCATATTTCTTTTTATTTTAATCTTGTTTTTCTTTGGTTTTGAGGTTGAGAAAGTACACGAAGTAAGTCTCCAGTTTTCCAACGTGAAAAGTTAAAATTAAAAATTGCAGAAGAAACTTTTTTACTTATAAAATAGTTTGAGGTCTGTCGTTAAAATATTTTAATGGCGTATTGGAAGTAACAATATGTAGTAAAACTGCTATAAAAGTTACAATAAAGCTTTATGCATAAACTTTCGAGATACGACGTTCACATTTTTGTAAAATTAAATTGAATAAATCAAGGATATAAAGTTTATTATGTATTTTTATGCACCAAACAATTGCATAATTTATTTAATCAAATTCGGCCAAAATAGTTGTATGTGTGTTATTCTAGTTTCTCTTTTTATTATTTAAAACACTTAATGTTTAATTAACATTTTTCTGTTTTATTGTTAGCTTAAAAGTAATTTATATTTTGCCATAAATAACAAAGTAAGTCTTTAAAAACTAAAATACTTAAAATATATATCATAAACATACCAGAGCTTTCAGAGAAATGCATGAAAAATTCTGATTTCTCCCGCACCGAGCGCTGCTGTGAAATTTTAAAAATCTGCTGAAATGCACCAAGCCAATACTGGAATATTTATAGAAATTGTAAAACAAAAACAGCTCATTTTTAAACGTATTCTCTGATTAAATCCATCATAATTTTATTTATTTGTTACAGAATACGACAAGAAAAGAATGGTGGTGCGTGGTGTCCCAAAGCACAAATTAGCAGTGATGTAAAGGAATATCTTGAAGTAGATCTGCAAAAAAATCATCTAATGACGTGGACAGAAACGCAAGGACGATTTGGTAATGGACAGGGTCAAGAATACGCTGAAGCATTTTTAGTCGAATACTGGAGGCATTCTTTGGGACAATGGATTACGTACAAAGACGCTAGAGGAGAAAGGGTGAGTCATAGATTTATAGATTATGAAAAATTATGTACTTGGCAAAACTCAAATATCTTCCTATTTCTATACCTTTATTTATATGTTGTTGGCAAAGGTAATTTAAAGTATATTGTTTTATTTAGAATAAAAATGATACTGTTTGTGTGAGGCTGTACGGTTGACGTTACAGACGAAGCACAAAAAGTAATTTTTACACCGAATAGAACAGGTTTTTTTAAACGTCAAAAATATTTTTGTTGTGTAAATGCAAAAATGCAAGTAATATAAAAATATTTAAAAGTAATAACTTATAAGCACCTTGTAGGTAATTATATATCGAGAAATTATACAGTTTAATGAAATTAGACAGTTTGATAATATATTTATTTTCACACTTCTGTTTAGGCGTAAAAGTTCTTTATTTTTACGCCTGGGCGTTAAAATGACTTTTTTATATTGTCAGTTACGTCGCAAAAGAGACGTTTTAAAAAAAAAATATTAGATGGCAAAACTAGGTTTCAAAATGCCATTTCGTGCATTCCACGCAAGATGATTAATAATTTCCGATTTAATATTGGTTATGAATTCCTCCAATTTAGTTTCAATTTCTGTGTAATATAATACCGTATGATCGAAAAAAAAACGAGGTCAGCGATGGCTATGAAATGAAGATCGCTCTCGTTTTATATTTTCAAGCCAACTAAACGCCTTTTTTTTCGATCATAGTCAGCTGATCAAATATCACCTGCCTCTATCTAACTAGAGAATTATAAGTAGTTTTTTCAATTGATCTAATATTCTCATTATGTAAATAACGCTACTCGCACACATTAACTGATGACAGCACAGAGAAACAATACCTTAAATCATTTTAAGATATTTAGATATTTTATTTAATTTCAAGTTTATAAATATGTTGAACTATACAATATAACTACTCAGAAAACAAAATATTATGCCCACATTATAAATCTACATAATATACAGACCGGACCACCGTAGTAGTAACATATAGGTAGAACCGGACTAATTAGCGTATACCCGTCCGCCGGATAAAAAACAGGCGAAAAAATGCTATAAAATAAAAATAGGTAGATATGTGATAAGAATGTTTCATAATTTGTATTTATTCGTGTTTTAATAGCCAAAACGAATATATAGATTCTCGCGACAGTTTTCGTGTAAAATTTATTTTTTAAGTAAAATAATGGATGTTTACGAAGTTCGTGAGAAAATTCAAATTGTAAAATGGTATTTCCAAAATAGGTATTATCGGGATATACAAACAATTTTTCCGCTAACTTTTGTAAACAGGGCAATTCTATCTTTACCTACTATATCAAGAGTTATTGATAATTTTGAAACACATGGGTGCGTATCCCCACAAAAGCATAAGAAGCCTGATGTGTTGATTAATGAAGAACAGGAGTTTAACCGTTTAATTAGTGGATATGGAATTATTTTGTGGCCCGCTAGATCACCAGATCTTTCTCCCAATGATTTCTTTTTGTGGGGTTATGTAAAACCTAAAGTGTATGGTCATAATAGGGCTAATAATCTGGATGAGCTTCAAGTAAAAATACGAGAGGCTTTCCAAACTATTAGCCCTAATATGTTAGCCAATGTCAGACGGGGATTTTACGACCGCCAAGGCTTCTGGCTAGCACAAGAAGGTGGTCTTTTTCAACACTTGTTATAACTTTTTTTTATTTAGAGTAATATTTTAGTTTTTTTTTGGGTTTAGAGAATTTATTTATTTTTAGTTTTGGCTTGTAAACACACTCAAATAATAAAGATTTAAGTATTTTTATTTTAAATGTTACCTTAAGTGAAGGTAAACACTTAAAATGAAAATAATAAATACTCGGCACTCCTCGCGTCGTATTCCTAGTCTGTCACGACCGACCCGTCCAAGCATACAACTGCAACTGCGTACTGCCTGAGTAGCCGACTAGCCGGCAGTGAATCTCGAGTACGAACGCAAATTGGGTAAACGTAAATTCGTCCGGCAACTTGCTATGTTACTAGTAGACTGGTCTTCTCTGTATAAAATGCTAATGTTTATCTGTGTCGTCTCTACTGAAGTAACGACTTGCTCTAGAAAGTTGCTTTTTTAAATAAAAGATAGCTAATTGGCTCTTCTAAAAACTGTCGTCGCCGGATTTTTTGTTTTTCATTTAATTAAACAAAAAATAAAAAGTATTTCTTTTCCTGATGTCGTGGCGGATGCGCCAGGCTTCAACTAGTAATAAATAAATATCTATAAATTATATTAACGACACTAATTCAAAATTATAGAGAGTTATTAAAAAGAATAAAAGAAAATCTAAAATTGTTTTTAATATTTAATGTTCACTGTAATGAACATATTATGTATATCATCGAATTTTAATATAGAATATATTATATGTACAATTTTTGTTGACAAATATTTTTTCGATAATTAAAAGAAACATATTTTACAATTAATGTTTCTATGAAATAAATTTTTTAGCCATTGGTAGTGCGCTCTAATTTATTAAAATTGCTACTGTTTCAATAAAATATCAACAATTGATTTACGCGGATTGAATTAAAATATATTTTTAAATACTAAACGAGCTTTAAAACATATTTTTAAATATAGTGCGCTTTGTACAGAATGCTAATTTTTTATTTACAACAATAATTAACAATTTTAAAATTATTTGTGCAAATAAAATAATTTATATGTATACATTTTACGTGTTGATATCATAAGTTAGCGATAAATAACATATATCTGTTTATATAAATTATTTTTTTTGTCAATCAACGGTAAGTAATAATTTGAATATCTTGCATAGTTTTATAGCATAGCTTAAATAAACCCTGCCATCTATTTATACACTAAAAATCACAATTATTAATTTAAAAACGAAATTACTATTTTTAAAAAAATAAACTTTAAAGCTTTAGCCAGGACCTCGAAGTTAGTGGAACAAATTAGTGGTTTTAAGTATACTTTGTACTTACGTAGAATAGCATAGCAACAGCTTGCGGTGGTCAATTGTATCTATAGGCTTGATGCATTTCAGTTAATTTCAAAGAATTCCGACCGCAGCGCTGTATACGGCAAAAATCAGAAATTTTCACTACGTATTTCAAGCCGCGCCGCTGCCGCGCCGTCCCGGTTACAGTTCATGTTGATCGCATTAAAATAATATTGAAATTGTGGCTTTGTCATAATATTTAAGTATTTTAGTTTTTCACTAGTACAGTTCTTGACTAAACTAAAAAACACTCAGGTACCAGGTTTGTGTGATGTAACGCCGTTTCGGGTAGTAAAAAATAAGTGAAGATTAATTAACTAGGCGTCGTGTTGTGTTGTGACAATTTCAAATGTTAATAAAATTACCCAAAAATGTTAACTCGTAAAGGAGAGCGTAATTAGGGCGTTGTTGGGTGCAATTACATTCAATAACTCAACTTTCCCGGATATTCAACTCTCCCGAAACAATATTTTATAGCTTCATAGTTTCTCACACCAATTTGATCAAAAGCAAAAATGGATTCAAGCAGTTGGTCGAAACAAATGTAAACAAAGTGTTCGTTACATAATCAAAAAAATAAATGGAAGTACCTATACTGTGACAGGATGAAATACAATTTGCAATATTAATGGTATACTTTTTTTAATCAACTAGTGATTAAATATTTTAGGAACATATTCTAAAATAAATTATAATTATGTACCTGTTTAAAATTAATCATTATTTTAAAACGAAGATATTCCAAATACAACCTATTTTATTTATGTACTCTATAAATAGTTTATTTTCAAAATAACAGAGGCACAATGTGGCTCTTTATTCTAACTCCAACTAAGATAAATTATTACATGCAGCTTAATCAGAGCCACCCAAAACTCCTCAATTAATGCCTTTTCTTTTGCAACTAATTTAACGTATTTTCGTCTTTAATGAAGAAAAGCCTTAGAGGCATCCAGAGGACCTTAAATATCTACGAAGTTCTCAACAAAACCAAGATATATTTGAGTTAATGCATTTAATAAGAATTAATGCTTAATATACTTCAAAGGAATTAGTGGCACTCCGAGTTTTGGTTACGAATCGGTCCCTGAAATGCTGTTTAAATCGTAGAAAATATGAACTTGGAACGGAATATTCAAGTTTTCAAAACTATAAAGAGGATATTTCTCGCAAAAAATTTGTTGAATGGGTAAATTATTTTTGAATCTTTCTATAAATGCCTTTAAAATTTTTAATTGGCTTGAAGAAAATTTAACTAAATACTATAGGAGCAATTAATTTTTATTCACTTTGCTTTCGCTAATGCCTGTTTTTGAAAAAGTGAAAAATAAATAATAAATAATTAATGAGGTTATTTCTGAATGCAGTCGTTTTTTATAACTTATTTTATTTTTATTCTTATTTCATTAGTTCTCTTGAAATGTACGAATAGTCATATAAATTAAATTTTAATTCTATCATAATCAAAAATGACTATATGCGACGGGTTCATTTCTTGACGAAAGTCTACTAATAAATCTTGTCATTAAGTCTTGTTACCATACGATCGAAAAAAAATGGCGTCAGTCACTGAAATAATAAACACTAAATTAATACATTTACTTAATAGTTTACATAAATGTTTATGTTAATAACTTGAAGGTGCATACGAGATCTTTATGTCAATGTGTTATTACATGCGAATGCAATATTAGTATCAGTATTCTATTTAATGAACATACCCTGCTGGCAAGCGAAACTTTGGGTCGGCGTTTACATGTATAGGAGTGAATCGCAATGGCAATCTAGTAAGTCGGAGGGAGCAAAAATACGAAGTATTTATTACATAACCACTTAATCTGACGCTAGATTCCATGCGCTTGGGAAAGTACTTGCCTTCTGTCTTTATTCAGTACATCTTATTTTGCTAAGCGTGTTGACCGTACTCTTCGTACACTCGAAAATCGGCACCCAAGACCAGTTATGTCAAGACTACAAACCAGTTATGTCAAAAGTTTACGATTTTGA